TCAACCGGTGACTCGGTGGTTCAACCGGTGGGTCCATAAAAATTACAAAAAAATATAAAGTATAAATTTTTTTAGAGGCAAAATTAAAATTTTTAATTTATTTTTCCCTAATTATTTAAGTCTATAAAATAAAGTAAAATGTTGGATCAAAAATTTTTAAAAGAATATTTTTATAAAACCTATAAATTATTCATTAAATAGATATAAGTTATTTGCAAACAAGTAATACTAAAACACTCTATGTCAGTGATGAGGAAACCATTATTTTTCTTAGAGGTTCAATGTTCAATTTCCTTGGACCCTAAATTTTGCAAGAGAATTTTAAAACCCAATCAAACTAGTCAACCGAGCCGGGTATATTGTCGGTTAACTCGATCAAAGCCCGATTTTGACCGAGTCAAGTGCATTTTGATAAAATTAATCTACCCGGCCCGCTCAAGGGTCCGGGCCGCCGATTTTCCGACTCCACTGTCCGGGCCTGGCCGAATTTTATAACTATGGGCAGGACACATGTTGCCAGAATGCCCCAAAAATATGAGATGCCAAAAATGTGGCGAGGGCTTTGTTAGGTGGTTGGAGGTAGAAAAGAATTTTGACAATAAAGGGAAGTTGTTCCATTCTTGTACCCGCGGATGTAGGTTTTTCAAGTTTTCTAACGTTTCGCCCCACAAAGAGTATTCATTGCAAGGTAAATCAAGTGGTAATATCAAAGGAAGTGAACCCGTCAACGATTTGTCCCGTATGTTGAAAATATGTGCAAAAATAACCGAGGAAAGGGACTTGGAGATTTCACTCAACATAACTATGCGCAAAGGGAAAAGAGTCTCGGAAGATTTAATATGAAGAATGTATATTTGGATGAATTCGAGTTATTGTAATTATTTGGTTTTATGAGACTGTTTTTATCAATGTTCAGATGTATATTTTAAGCAATGATATCACTTTATTATGACCATGTTGCCTGTTGTTATCAATGTTTTGATGCTTAGTGCTAATGATTTGATTGGTTAAGAATGGAACTGAAGCAGAGTTGGGTTTGATTCCTGTTTTTCCAACACTTACTTTCCAAATCATATCTCAATTGTTGAAACATGAATGGTTATTAAAGTGCCTCACGAAGAGAACATCATTATTCTTGCTTTGTTTTGTTGCAGATGTTGGATATAAAAAAAAAACAGATGAACTTGTGTCACAGTTCACCTTTTATATAAATAAGACCATACTTTAAAAACCAAAATTAGATCATGCTTTAAACCACGTCGAGCATGTCATTTAACTGTTTACACAAATACATAAATCAGACCATGCTTTAAGCCCCAAAATCAAACCAGCATGTCAAGCATTTCATTTCACTATTTACACAAATACATAAATCAGACCATGCTTTAAACCCCAAAATCAAACCAGCCCGTCAAGCATGTCATTTAACTATTTACACATATATAAATTAGACAATGGTTTAAACCCCAAAAGTAAACCAGCCAAATTCCTAGATGCTTTAAACCTCTAAATCAAACTCGCCTACGCTCTCCCGTGTGCCGACTTGTTGGGAAGGGAAAGTTGTTGGTATGTAAACTTCCTGACAAATTGAATTGATAGTGTCATTTACAAAAACACTTGTTATGGGAACTCAAATAAGTTGGTGTATATCAATCTCATGTTCAAATACCTGAACTGTGAATGGGGTGAAACTTTGGCTTCTTGCCTTTTCAATATACTTGAGTTCGTTGCCATCTGTACGTCATGGAAATAAGCAATCAATTTAAATATGAGCTTGAAAAAAAAACTCGAAATCATACCTTATGACATCTTTATTTTTTAGAACCAGCTTCTAGATAACCCTTTCAGAGAAGTTTTTTAGGAGCTCCCTTGCTTTTCGTGCATTTCGGGTCCAAGATGGTTCCGCTCGCACACTTTCTTGCTTTATCAAAGCATTGGTAGCCAACGTTCCTAGACTTCAACATGCTGTCAATCTCGCTTTACAACCTGTTTGCATTGTTGGTTGAGGCTTCATAACTGCATTAGTACCACTGACTCGACGACCCTCCCGACTACATGTAAACGTTACATAACGTACAACTCCGTCATCACCCTTCTTTGAATTTCTTTTCCTCACCGGAAAATCGATTTGGTACGCATAGTTCTTGTAAAATTCGAACACCTCATTTTCATCTTGAAACTTCATTTCAACACTGGGCATAATAATATTAGTTCCTTCTCGTAAGCTCTTATCATTTGGAATGTCGTCTTCGAATGAAGGAATTTCCAAAATGCCTGCATTTACGACAAAACAAACAATAATCAATTCAAAGACATTTGTAAAAATGTTCTCAACCAAACAATAGTCCAAGTACCAATTTTGTGCACACAGTAATTTGAGAAAAATAATAATAAGCGCTTTTCAAAGTCAAAATTCCACCAATTCTGCCACAAGTTGGTGAAAAATACAGTGAGTAAGGTAAAAAACACCATAAGACAAAAAGAGTTATAAGTTGATAGGGAACAACATACGTAGATATAGAAAAGGAACTCACATCACCAACAAATGAAGATTAAGAAGAAGAAAAGTTACCCATCATGTTACCGCTGTCGGAGTTGCCTCCGTCCATTTCGTCTTCATCTCCAAAATAACTGGGTTTGGGGTCCGCCGCAAATGATGGGGATAACAACATGAGGTTCACCATCGTGTCGACGCCGGCGTCGATGTTCCTTGCACCGTCGAATGGGTTTTCCCTTCATTCCATTTCTTCTCGATCGCCTAGGGGGTATGGGAAATGACGGGGGAAAATGGGTATAGGTTAAAAAATATCATTTTTTTTTCACTTCAATGAGATTTTGACTTTTCAAAAAAATGCCACATCAGCACACTGTAAGAAATTCGGTGAGTCATGGTTGTAAGTGTAGCACGATCCTTAATTCGTTCCTTGGCCTTCTATAATGTTGAGTTTTACAGATAAATAATTACACAGATTAAAAGGTAACTAATGTTGGTTATATGTAACGGTGATATGTAATGAATTTTTAACTAACTTACGATACATTTATAAATAAAATGGATAAACTATAACATGTGACGTGCTCGAGTGTCAAATCGTATCAATTCTAAAATTAGTGGCATTTCATTGAATAAATATACCACTTTCCATTTAATTTTAGCATAAAAATCTAATTCCAAATATTGATTTTACTCATTTCCTTCTCCCATGAAAATTCTACTTATATAATTTTCGAACCTTCGAGTCTTCCTATAGTTCCTAGCATAGTTACCTTACTATGTATTACACAATTTATTTTTCACCTAATTAAAATTATTGAATTTTTTTATCTTGAAAAGAAAGATTCCATATCCCTTTGAATTTTTGAGTAACTTGAATAGCGACAACAAAAGCTAATGCAAACAACTGTAATTCTGAATAATTTATCGCGTTGTGGGTAGTGCCATTTTAAGCGGTGGGGCCTGTGAGAATATATAGAGATCACGATATGATTATTTTTTCAATTTTTATATATTTTTTATTTTTTATTCATCTCATTCATATCCTTTATAAATTATTTATCCCTTTGTTATTAATGAATATTTATACGTAGTTTGTAATAATTACTACTTTATGGTGTTGTTTGCCCCCATTTTTCGAAAAAAAAAAAAAATGATTTTGTAAGAGAATTTTTTGAAGAATATATGTGGTTAAAAAGTAAGAAATTTTTTTGAATTTACATGTAAAATTATTTTTATTGAAAGAATATATAATTGAAAAATGAGTTGAAGAATTTATTTTTTAAATGGACTTAAAAGTGGCTATATCTTATAAAAGAAAACTTTTATATTGTGTTGAAAAAGGAACGGATAAGAAATTGCATATCGTTTAGTCATAAAAATAGTTTTTTTTTTTTGTGTGTGTGTGTGTTTCCACGTGAATTTGGTAACTCTTCTCAATAAAATCAAATTCCAGAGTTGGTAATGTGCTTATAAGTTGGTCACACCTGCTTATAAAAACTTTTAATTACCAAACATGTTTGAACTTTCAAAATGTTCAAAGGTTATTTGACAAAATTTTTGATAAAAGTTTTCTCAAATTTTGATGAAATTAATTTGTAGTTAAAAATTGATAAAAGTTGAAATTTCATGAAATATGTGATTAAAATTGAAGTTCGGCCATTTTAAAATAAAATTTATATCAAACTTGCACTCTTTCTTTAAAAAAGCAGTAATTGTTTAATAACTAGATTTCCGAACAACGCATGCAAACTCGAATTCATTTCAAAACTTCACTTTTTATTACTTAATTCTTTTGTTAAGCAGACCGATACATACTCTGTGTGTGTGTATGCACAAGATCAATCTCATAATATTTAACCTAGTGAAAGATTTAAACTTAGATTGAACTTGTATCCTTTCTAATTTAAGGAAGTTGTTACGAAACCTATGTCCCAATCAAAATAATCTTGAAATGATATAGAACGAGCCATCACGCTTGAACCAATAGGATTATAGGGTATTTCTTTGTTCGGTGTCTTTTGATTCATAAGCGAGGGTTTTACACTTGACAATCGTAAATACATGCGTGCATATACATATGTACACAACCAAACGAATCAGGTCCCTCAACTGTCAACTTATATTAATTCTTTAAGACCAAATCTGTTTTTAAAAAACATTGTACTGAACGTTCCAAATGTCTCGAAATCCAAAAATGAACAGGTTCAAAAGAAAATCCTAGCAAGAAACCCATCCGAGTTGTGTCTAAGTTACATTCTTGGCTGGGGATGGTAATTATGTGAAAGTATCTGTTTTTAAAAAACATTGTGCTGAACGTTCCAAATGTTTCGAAATCCAAAAATGAACAGTTTCAAAAGAAAATCCTAGCAAGAAACCCATCCGAGTTGTGCATATGTTACATTCTTGGTTGGGGATGGTGATTATGTGAAAGTGGTGGTAAGGTTGGCTAAGGGTTTGAGGAAGGTGAATACAGCGTACCCACTTGTGGTGGCAGTTTTGCATGATGTGCCATAGGAGCACCACCGCTGCATGCTATGTTACATTCTTAGCTGGGGATGGTGATTATGTGAAATTGGTGGTGGGGTTAGCTAAGGGTTTGAGGAAGGTGAATACTGCGTACCCACTTGTGGTGGCAGTTTTGCATGATGTGCTAGAGAAGCACCACCGCCGCATGCTGGTGGAGGAGCAAGGTTGTTTGGTCAGTGAGATTGAGACCGTTTATCCTCTGGTGGGGGTGGAGTTGGCAGTACGCACTCTGATATTCAAGTCGGTTGGGGAAGAAAAAATATGAACGTGTGAGAGCTTTAGAAGTGAGCCTCCAATATAAAAAGGGTGTCGGCTTTGGGAAATAACAAATGGAACAGTGATATGACAAAGTTATAGTTTGAGAGTCTAAATTTGGATTACCTTCAAATGATACTAAGTGTGAGCTTTTATAGTAAAAAAAGATGAATGAGAATTTTTGGATGAAATAACACGTGGCCTCAATCATATGGCTAATGCGTCTTATCTTAGACATCAATCATAAGCCTTAAATGCTAATACCACTACAACATCCATAATGCCTAGCTTGCGACTTTGGACTTAACTTGATGGCTGGCAATGACGGCGGCGACAATGAATTGTCACATCAATCACAAATCAAAAGGGTGCTTGGGAGATCTTGTGCTGAGCTTCTTTTGTGGTCTTGACTCTATTCACGATCAGGCTCTTACAGGTTAGTACTTAGTACCATTCAATGGGGTCGACAAGTTATTGGCTCGGCCATCAAAAGTGGCTCGGCCAGATCAGCCTCATAATATAGTGTAGGGAAAACACTTGTTTGCCATGTAGGATATTTGGGAACTTGCAAAGCAAGGCGTAACAGTAGATAAAATGCCTATTAAACAATTTTTTTTTTCATTTCAAGGATTTTACCACTTTATTAAAAGAAATTTAANCCTAGCTTGCGACTTTGGACTTAACTTGATGGCTGGCAATGACGGCGGCGACAATGAATTGTCACATCAATCACAAATCAAAAGGGTGCTTGGGAGATCTTGTGCTGAGCTTCTTTTGTGGTCTTGACTCTATTCACGATCAGGCTCTTACAGGTTAGTACTTAGTACCATTCAATGGGGTCGACAAGTTATTGGCTCGGCCATCAAAAGTGGCTCGGCCAGATCAGCCTCATAATATAGTGTAGGGAAAACACTTGTTTGCCATGTAGGATATTTGGGACCTTGCAAAGCAAGGCGTAACAGTATGCTTGGGCATATTATGTTGTCAACTATTCCAAACTTAGCCTCTGGAATGTTAGCTTTTATGTTCCAATTGTTCTTACAAAACATGCAAATATACGTGGCTAAAAACTCAAATTGGACCATATCTTTATATCGTTCAATTCATCCAACACGACATACCAAACATGCACTAAAATTTCAGGATGTGAGTCTATATGATGAATAAAAAGTGGTTTGATTTGGAGTGCAGTTTGCAGAATACAAGAAAATGATATACCTGGATGCAAATGTGCAAGTTTTTAGCAACATTGATCACCTATTTGAGTTAAAAGATAGCAGTTTTTATGCTGTAGTGGACTTCTTATGTGAGATGCATGGCAAATAGTGCAAGGAGAAGGTTCAATGGCCTCAAGAGTTGGGTTCCAATCCCTTCACTTTTGCTATCCCTTTTGCTGAACAGGTAACTTAACATATACTGTGTGGCATATTTGTTGCGTGAACAATATCAGATGAGATTAAGTTCAAATTTGTCTACTATTTTGCGTGTAGTGTGTTTGTTGAGTTGGATAGGGAGAAAAAGTTAAATCCATCATAGTCATACTAACTAGTATCAAGTGTTGGTAAATATATCCAAAGATAATGGAGAAGAAAACAAAAAGAAATAGAAGCTAGAACACCAAAATATGGTAAAAAGGCTCCAACACGTAATCGCTATTTTCAAATGATATTTGTCCCTTCTAGGATCAATTTGGTTCTTAAAGGGACTCACAACAAATGGTTTGTAGGATTGAATCAAGCCTTGAAGAAAAAAAACTTAAGCACTAGTGTTTTACTTCCATAACTTAATGAACACAAAGTGAGTTTAAATATGTTTTGAGAATTGAAGAAGTCTCTTGATGTGGAATGAATTGGGTGTTTTTAAAGTATTGATTGTGTTTGACAATGGAAAACTATTTCCTATATATAGTTTTCCATCATACACTACGAAAAGGCACCAATAATTAATGAAAAATTAAGATTTTTTTTCATGAAAAGTCACCAAAAAACAAATCAGAAAACCAACTTTAACGGCTCGGTTTTATCTCCATGCATACACATGGTATCATGATAATAAGTCATGTGTGAGCATGATAGAAGCATTTTTGCTTCAATTTCTGCAGATAGGACCCATGCGTACACATGGCTAAATGGCCAATGGGTATGCTTGGGCAAAATGCCTATTAATCAATTTTTTTTTTCATTTCAAGGATTTTACCACTTTGTTAGAAGAAATTTAATAGATGCAGTGACATAATCTGAGATGACAGCAAATGATTTAATGAAAAAATTGACTGTCTTTAAAACAGTCTTGATAGAATATCACATGACATCATGTCAATGTATCTGATATTGTAACATGACTGTCATTTCAATTCCATCATATGTTAGGTCCATTTAAGTGGCCCAATTCTTCATCAATATTATTTTGAACAATTACAACAATCTTCCAAATTGGAAACTATAAGAATTTTTTTGAAAATCTTGGACAAAATTTAAAATTTAGTGTGGGAGAAGCTGATCCCATTGCCCTACACTAAATCTGTGTCACTCATTGTATGTTAGGTCCATTTAAATGGCCCAATTCTTCATCAATATTATTTTGAACAATTACAACAATCTTCCAAATTGGAAACTATAAGAATTTTTTTGAAAATCTTGGACAAAATTTAAAACTTAGTGTTGGGGAAGTTGATCCCACTACCCTACACTAAATCTGTGTCACTCATCTCAAGGAAGTGACCAAAGCATAATACCCTAAAAATCTACTTCTATTGCGCATTGAACTTGAGGTTGAGATTTAGTATTATGTCATGTTCTTAGAAAACATTGATATTGGTAAAGAATATGTTGTTGGGGTTTACATAGAATTCTCCTTCCTGTTCAATCATACATTTAAGACATTAAACATTTACAGACAACGGAGCATATTGTTATATTACACCATTTTTGGACCAAAATAATTCAAAATTTATTGTTAATTCAAAATAATAATGAAAAACGTGCTTCAACGTAAAAATCCACACTACAACTAGTGAAATTAACTTAAATTTTTTAATAAAATTGATTGCGTAATTCAATTCCTTGGAAAGTGTCACTTCCTACCCCTACAATTGACACAAATCCAGTTTTGTGGGGAGGACCTGTTAGGGATGTCTCATATGACGAAAACTTAAGAGCTTTTTTCTGGGCCATTTCTTGTAGGAGATTTTTGTATATTCTTTTATCCTAAAGTAATTAAAATGCACAAATGTGATACAACAAAAAAGGAATAATTATAAAAGTATCAAAATTAGTTGGTCTGAATGCTGGCCTCCTGAGTCTCAACAATTGACAATGTTTCAAAAGCAACTTTGGCTGCTGCATTTTCAACATCTTTTAGTGTGGAAAAATATGTTGGTGCTTTATATATTTTTCCAACCAGAGAGAGACACGCGACTTGTAGCGAAGAGCGTGAGGAGGGCCGTCGAGTTTACAAGCATACACAGGCATTATAAGATTTCTCTTTTGAACATATTGTTGCAACCGATTTTTAAATATGTGCAACGCATCTAGAACATAAAGAGGATCAAAAAACGATAATTATTGTGAAAACGAATGCTATAGTTATTTATGAGATTATGACTTAGAGTTGAAGAGAATTACTTAACTCAGATTGCATATCTTGGTTATACTTTAGTTTTTCCATCTGAATTCCAAATTATTGCTCCAAAATTCTAGCATATGATACAACCACTTTCTAGTCTCATCAACTAAAACTATGTCATGGGTAAACATAGATCAACAAGTTTATAATCATTTAAATAATTTGCGTAGTGATTTTTATGGACCTTCTCATTTCTTGGTTCATTTCAATATCAAATTTTTCCAAAACAAAATTTGGTACTAATTCATGCCTAAACTTTATACAAGTTATCTTAGTTTCTTCCTTTTCATCTCCATTATCCAACATGAGCATCAAATCTTATTAGTTGCATTACCTTCATAGTTTGACTGCAATATCTCTTTGTTAGGCGGTTGTAAATCAGCACAAACAATGTAAAAGTTAAATATTTTACATTTTTTGATATTGTCAAATCCTATCATGAAATGTCATACAACAATCAACCCAGGTATAACGCTACAAATTTAATCTCCATGCATAAAGCTTGCATATGCATAAATCATATAACTTTTAAACTAAAAAGATAAAACTTACTAGTATGTGGAATGTGTGGTGGCAGAATTGAGATATCCGACTGGAGATCTGGAGCTGTAGCTACATGATATGCTTTTGAAATTGGAACTCCATCACTTGGTACAACTAGAGGAAATGTAGCAGCTATTGGAGCATCAGCATTTGGATGAGCAACACTAGCAAATGGGAGGTGCTGGTCAAATGGAGAAAGTTGCTTAACAAAATGATGGTATGCAATTTGTGCCCCCAAGATCTTGAGCGTTCTGGGAACATATGCAAACAATGGGAACAATCTTAAAGCAATACCCATTAAATTCAACAACAGCAGTGAACTGAGGGAAATCATCTAGGCCATCCCTTATTATCGTATAGTTGGGCAAATTGAAATTCATGGTTTCACACCATTCACATAGCTTGATATTGTACATTATGATAAGGTTTTCTTCTTCCTTCAGAAGATATGACTTTGAAATATATGAGAATGTAATTTATACTACAATGGCTGCCCGATTAAGTATATGAGAATGGAAGGTATAGTTTGTTATTCATTGCCAAAAAGGGATATTTTATACAAGATGAAAAGACCATTCAACCCTTGAATGTTTATTTAACACAAATATAAGATTTATTTTATGGTTTCAATTATTTAGTTGACATAACGCACTACACATTATGACAATGAAATGATGATCCCCATATCATTTTAGTAATTAATTAGGGAAAAACTACATATACATGAGAGAAAATAAAATGTCAGAAGCATTATTTTTCTTTCATTCTTTTTTTTTTGTAAGTGTACAATTTTCAAGATCATCATCGTGAGATGTACAATGAAACAACGAGGATTTGGGATCAACTGCAATAGATTTATAACATTCACCTTAAATTCATTGGAGGAATGACAAGAGGCCATTGCTTGGATAATAATTGACATGATAACGATTCACTTAGGGATGTATAACAGGGCACCATGTTTAATTTTTGATGTCGAAATGACATCGAAAAGGATACCAAATGACAACTCTCTACTAAAAATAAGTTGAGAACGGTTGCAAACATTCAAAACGGTTTATATGTACATGTAACTTCATGGCGAGAGCAAAACAATAGTTGGAATAAAATTTCTAAAACTTGAAATTAAAAGAATACACCATATCCTATATAAAGAAAATTTACATGAATCATATATTGATCCACAAAAACCATCTATATGAACGCATACAACAGACTAGATGAAACTTCCATGTCTGTTGAACATATTCACCAAAAACAAAAGTCACAAAATTTCCAAACATATCCATAAAAAACGTGTGGTACATTTAGTAGAACAACCATATGCAAGACGCATAGAATCATTTTCATGAAGTGACCAAACAAAACAATCACGAAAAATATGAATAATGTATCAGTAATCAGTAATTTCAAGACATGAAATATTTGTTCCAAAATTGTAAACTGATATGAACTTGAATTAAACCACAAGGTACATTTCATACAAAGGACTAGTCAACATCAAAATTAACATTCCTCAATAGAATTGGAATAGACGGAGGTAGGATAAACGAATTGTGAGGGCAATTTTCAAAAAAAATTAATTGTGGGGGCAAAAATTGGAAACTATAAGAATTTTTTTGAAAATATTGGACAAAATTTAAAATTTAGTGTGGGGAAAGCTGATCCCACTTCGCTACACTAAATCTATGTCACTCATCTCAAGGAAGTGACCAAAGCATAATGCCCTAAAAATCTGTTTTTGCTACGCATTGAACTTGAGGTTGAGATTTGGTATTGCGTCATGTTCTTACAAAACATTGATATTCGTAAAGAATCTGTTGTTGGGATTTATATAGAATTTTCCTTCTTGTTGAATCATGCATTTAAGACATTAAACATTTATAGACAACAGAGCATACGGTTATATTGCACCATTTCTGGACCAAAATAATTCAAAATTTATTGTTAATTCAAAATAATCATGAAAAAACATGCTTCAATGTAAAAATCTTCACTACAGCTTGTGAAATTAACTTAAATTTTTTAATAAAATTGATTGTGCAATGTAGTGACTCGGGAAAAGTTTAGTGCAATAACAAGAGCAAGAGACACCAACCGTATATAATATAGCACGCGTGTATTACACGTGAACCAATCGAGAAACTTATCTCATACAC